TAAAATAATAACAAAAACATTAAAAAATTATTGTGATATTATTTTGAGTTATTTTTATAGACCTAGATATAATACAATTACAAAATAATAGCAAAAATATAATAAAAACATTTTGATGTATTAAATGTATTTTTGTAGTATTTTAAAATCATTACAAAATCATTTCAAAAAATTGGCCATTTTTAGTAAAGTATGTTATATAGGCGTAAAGCTTATATAATTAATGCAACGAAAATCCTTTAATCAAGGGTTAAAATAGGCATGATGGGATATTCTCATATATCATGAAATCTGTCTGTTAGAAGTGTCGTTTTATATATAATTAAGTAGGCTTAAGTCGTAAGTAACTTTTTTATAACATTGATTATTGGAGAATTAAGTGGCAAAAATAATTTTTAGTTTGTAAGACTTTAACTCCATACCAACTTGTGTGTGTTTGGCGTATATTTTATTCCCTAACCCTTAGACCCACTCGTGGGTTGGTAGGTTGCTTTGCACTTCTTGCAGCCTATCTTTAATGGGTTTTAGGTCCACGTTTGCCCATTTAAAATTTATTAAACAGGATGTCATTCGTCCAAACACATTGCAACGTTTGTTGATGAAGCTATGGTTGTCTAATAAAAGTTCGCTTTGCCAGGCAATTTATGGTGGATTCAATGGATCAAATTACAAACAACAATAATGCAGTCATATGAGAATTCCAGGCCAAAGAATAAGGGTGAATTGTCAAAGTTGAGAATATATTTGTATTTTTTTTTTAAAGCCATCATTCTCATGAACTTTTTCATTGTATCCCTAAGTTCAATGATTTTGGTAATGATGAAACTGCAGTTGTTTACAGAGGCGGGTTTCTCGCCAAACTTCTGAGGTGAATTTATGTCTGGTGTTTTCGAATATACTTATCCTTTTTGCAATAGAGTCGTAGCGAGTCTTCTTAAAGCATACCTGTGACACCCCATCCAACTTGGACAGTGTCGCTGAATCTAAAGCAAGGTACCCAGTTAATCCTCAACTTTGGGTTGATGAGTTATGATTCTGGAGTATTAAGGCATAATGTTTTGACTTACATCACCAATTTAACTCATAATTCTAATTTATTGAATTAGTTTATTATAGATTTATTGATATTTTTTTTTATTTGTTATATAATATTTAAACTAATGTATACTTTATATGTAATTAAAATTGTTATTGTAATAAATAACCAGTAACTTAAATCTATTGAAATTAACTTTTAAATTAGATTACAAATTATTAAAATATTATAAAATTGAATTTAATGATATTTGATTGATTTGATATTTTTAAAGGTAAATTCAATATTTATAGATAATATCATTTTGATATTATTTTGATACTGAATTAATATTAAAATAATATTATATTGACATTGCATTTATTAAAAAAAAAATCATTATTGTTATAACAATATCAAAATGATATCGTTTCGTTATATCAAAACGATATCATATTAATATCGTATTTACTTTCTATTTTTCATTATTGTTATAACAATATCGAAATATCGATATGATATCGATTTGATGTTTCGTCAATATCGTTATGATGTCGATTAGATAATTATAAAGTGATATCTTTACGATATCATATTGATATTGAATTAATGTTGGAACGATATCATATTAATATTGTATTTACTTCCCATTTTTCAAAAAATTCATTGTTGTTATAACAGTATCGAAATGATATCGATCTGATATTTTTTCAAACAAATATCTTTATGATATTATTTCGATATATTGAATTAATATTGAAATGATATCATTGCGATATCATAATGATATCATTTGCAAATCGATATCGCCACGATATTTATTTAACATCATTATTATATCAATTTGGTATTGTTTAAAAATTCAAGGTTTCTGTAAAGAACGTTAGAAACGTTCCTTAATTAACACATACCACCCACCCCATTTACCTATCCTGTTGTCTCGTTCGTCCAAGTTCAGCGTCCTATAAAAGAAAATGTATCTAAAAAATAAATAAAGTATTTATATAAAAAAAAGAAATAAAAAGAAATTTCAGTTAAAAAACTGAAAAAGAATAAAAAAAAAAGAAAATCAAAAAAGGTTTTAGATTAAAAAACTGAAAAAAAGAAAATAATAAAAAAAAGTATTGGTTTAAAGAACTGAAAAAGAAAAATAAAAAATAAAAAGAAATTTTGGTTAAAAACCTAAAAAACATATGAAATAAACCTATATCTTTTACTAATTACCAGTATCGGGATCTCATGCAATCTAAATTAAAAATATTGTAAAATAAATTGATATTTAAGTATGCTATACAACAAACAATAAAAACAAACCGTCTACTTTATTAATACGAATAGGCTTCCCATACAACTTGATTTGATTCATTATTTTAATCTGCATTATCTTCGTTTGTAAACTTACAAAACTCAATCTTGATGTGTTTGAGTTATGCAAACTTTTGGTAAATGAACATTAACTTGAAGTTAAAATATATTTTCTGATTAGTAATGCTGAATTTATAACAAAATAAAATGAGCAGAGAAAGTGAAAATTACCAACAGGTCCTCTGTCAGAAATATTAACTTCCAAATCAGAGCTTCAGTACAACGTTCATCAAAGGTTACTGATATAGACCGTAGCATTTTGATTACATTTCTCTGTAGGATGACCCATAATCTTTTCCATTCTTCGGAAGTCCACCCAAACCTAAAAAAAGTAAAGAACGGTTATTAGTAACCGTTCATAATATTAAAAAAAAATATAAGAAAAATAAACCAAGATTCGTACTTATGAATCTTGGTTCCTCTTTTCCCAAAGGTCAAAAACCCACCTGAAGTCTAAAAAAAGAAAGAACGGTTATTAGTAACCGTTCATTAATATTAAAAAAAAAAAAATTAAAAAAATTAAACCAAGATTCGTATTTACTTACGAATCTTGGTTTTTCTGTTCTTCANAGGTTTTAGATTAAAAAACTGAAAAAAAGAAAATAATAAAAAAAAGTATTGGTTTAAAGAACTGAAAAAGAAAAATAAAAAATAAAAAGAAATTTTGGTTAAAAACCTAAAAAACATATGAAATAAACCTATATCTTTTACTAATTACCAGTATCGGGATCTCATGCAATCTAAATTAAAAATATTGTAAAATAAATTGATATTTAAGTATGCTATACAACAAACAATAAAAACAAACCGTCTACTTTATTAATACGAATAGGCTTCCCATACAACTTGATTTGATTCATTATTTTAATCTGCATTATCTTCGTTTGTAAACTTACAAAACTCAATCTTGATGTGTTTGAGTTATGCAAACTTTTGGTAAAAAATAAAGAAAAGAATGGTTATTAGTAACCGTTCATAATAAAAAAAACAAAAAAAAAAATTAATAAAGATTTATACTTACGAATCTTTATCTTTGGGTTTTCATTCTTCGGAAGCCTATCCGAACCTAAAAAATAAAGAAAAGAACGATTATTAGTAACCGTTCGTAATAAAAAAAACAAAAAAAATTGATAAAGATTCATACTTACGAATCTTTATCTTTAGGTTTTCGTTTTTCAGAAGCCTATTCAAACCTAAAAATAAAGAAAAGAACGGTTATTAGTAACCATTAATAATATTAAAAAAAAAGACAAAACTAAGATTCATACTTACTTACAAATCTTAGTTTTTTCCCCTTCCTTCTTCCCTTTCCCCGTTTTTACCTTAAAGTCCAGTTTTGTGAACAAGCTGGCGTCCTCCTACACGTTTTATAAAAAAATAACGAAAAGAAACGTTAGTTCGTTTCTTAATTAAAATTAAAAAGATAAATTAAAAAAAAATTAAAAAAAAAAGATATGTAAGTTTCAAAACAAAACTTACATTACTTTCAAGAAAAAGAAGCGGAAGAGGGTGTGAGAAAAGGGAGAACAAAAGGGAAAGGGAAGGACGAAAGGGAAAGAGAGAACAAATGAAAGGAGGGAAAATGGAAGGGGAAAGGGGAGTTTAAAAAAAAATGATCCTTTTTTAAACTTTAAATATACGTAATGCGTGACGTTTAATTAGTGCAATTATTCGACCAATATCTAATCGTAGATCATGATCAAATTTTTGATTTTAGTCAAATATAGGCCGAAATTTACTAAGGCCGAATATTCCTTTTCAACTAGTGCTATTTTTTTAATAAAATACTTTAAATAGGTCTTATTTATAATCAACGTGAAAATTGCTATATTGATTATTTAGATTTTGAAAATGAGATGCAAGATTATCAAACATTTGCTATGCAATGTTAACATGAATTAGAATCAATGTCAACAGAAATTAATTCACTATCTAATCCAACACCTATTGAACAAAAATATGGATTAGCAACCCAAGTTTATCAAATTATTTGGCATTCAATAACACATAACTTTTCATTTTCTATATTTTATTATAGTATTAATAATATAATAGCACATAGTTTAAATACAATAATTTTTAATCTTGCAGCAAAATTAGAATGTATAGGTATACATACATGTGGTTCAATTTGTGATGGAGTAGGAGAAAATAGAACAAATATTAAAAGTTTTGATTGGTATGCATCAAAATGGTCTTTTGGTGATATTGTAGAAGTCAAATTTAATAAAAATAAAAAATCTTTTCATGCAGCAAAAATTATAGGTAGTAATTTTGAAAGAACAAAATTTACTGTATGTCAGCTTGATTGTAATAATTCTGAACAAATTGAAATTGATTGAAATTTTATTCACCCACCAATGCATTTAAAATTAGAATGGAATGTAAATGATTTGTGTGAATTTAAAAGTCCAAGAGATAACCAATGACATTTAGAAAAAATTTTTGATTATAATTCAATTGATTCAACATTATCTGTAGAACTTACTGAAACTGCAAAAGGATGGAAGATTTTTAGTTATCATATTAGTAAATTTCTTAGACCTGTTTATGATGATCAATTTACAGCAAATTATAAAACAATAAATCCTATTACTGGAGAAGATTGGTTTTTTATTAGTGATCCAACTCATTTTTTAAAAAACTTAGAAATAATTTATCAAGAAGTCATACAGGTGAAAAGAATGCCAGAGAAATAATATTTAATAAAAATGAAATTAGTTGGCGATATATCAAAGGTGTATATGATCATACATGTTAGCATACAACAGCAAAAGCTATAAAACTTACAAAACGTCATATTTGGCTTACTTCATAGAGTAAAATGAAAGTTGATCTTTCTGAATATACACTTTTTAAAGAAGTTGAAGATGCATTATCAAATATTGAAGAACTTAAAAATATATCAGAAGGAACAAGAGTAAGTAATTATTAAGTTATAATTAATTTTAACTTTATTTTTTTAAATAATAATTTTTTTTTTTTTTTTTCCGTTTATACTCATAGAAGTTTGGTCATCTTTATTTAAGGTGTAATTACAATAATCACAACACATTTACATAAATAAATAAGACCATACCCGCATGCAGGTAGACCTTAGAGTTGAAATTACCCCGATATGAACTGTATTACCATTATAAATACATTAAAAACAAAAAAGTAATGTAAAAATCAAACCCCCCTATGATCCCCACAGGGTTCCCCTAAAGGATACCACGACCCTTTGTTAAAATGTGTAGCCTTACTGTACACACTAATTCACCATGGTGCAGTCCTACAAAGAGTTGACACGTTCTGAAATGAAAACCATAGGTCACATTACATAATCTTAGTCTTTATCATATCCAGATGGATACACCAGGTCCAACTGTTACGCTTTAATGTAATCTAATGAATCTAATTTTGACAATTCCACTGCTGATCAACTTTAATTAGTAAAAATTAAAAACTAAAATCCACCAATCCCATCAGCCCTCCTAAATAGACTGATCTACATAAATCCAAAAAAGTTAAGTAACACCAAACCTTTTTAAATAATAATTAATTATAATTTATTTTCAAAAGGATTACATTAAATATTCACAAAAATATTGTCAAATAATGCATAGCAAAATTAATTTCCAATCTTTAGAAGATCCATGTATTAATACTTTAAAACAAATACGTAATAATTAGTTTATATATGGTAATAAACAAAAACAGATACTAAGGAATGGATTTCACCACAATACCAATTTGATCTATTATTATCTATGGTTTTCTTGGAATGCTTGCATTTATTCTGAATAAATATCCAGGTTCAATCATTTAACCAAGACGTATTTCACAAAATATGCTTGAAGGGCTTTTTGGTACAATCCGTGAACTTGGTGGAAATTCCTTCACACAAACACTTAAATCTTATGGATACGTCTTAAACAAATATCAAATTATAACATTAGCTTCAACTGAAATAAAAAGTATTAATTATGGAGAGGCTGATAGTACCAGAACTGGTATTACTACTTTAGTAAGAAGGTATTTATTATAGATTAATTTTTTTTTTTTTTTTTTTTTAAT